GCTCAAGAAACTAATAAAAATTAACGTATGCTGACTGAAGGAGAGGCTATTGTCGGTGACGAAGTAAGCGCCATCAGAGAATTTGTGTTCCGAGAAGAGTCGGAGGTGGGAAAGCCGGAGAATACAGCTGCTGGTCCGAACATGTTGGCTACAGCAGGACTAGGCAAGTTGGCCGAATCGTTAAGGACAGTTTCAACTAAAGGCATTTCCTCACCCAGAGGTGCGGCTGTAGACAGGGCAGAGCAGGAAGATCCACTGTAATTAAGAAATCGTGGATTGGTAATAAGGCATTTTAACGATATGTAAAAGTATTCATTTAAACTGAGATAAGAGTGATTAAAACACAAGGATTCATGTAGATTCACCTATGCTCGCGGAATCTTAGCATAGCAGCGATAACAAATGAGGCACACTAGTGTCGTTGCCGTAATCTAAAGCAGTCAGCCTAATTTATGCCCGCAATAAGCGTTTTTGATGGAGACCACTATTGACGAGTAGAGGAATGCGAACAAGTTAAATGGATGGGTTAAAGATAGTAACTAAATATGATATTAGACTAATATAATAGAATACTTGATCGCAAAGCGGACAACGGTTTAAACTGTACCAGCCGCCATTAGGAGTAATACTAAATTCCGAATAGCTTTGCATCAAATCAATATGCAGAAAAGTCAAGGTATGTGTAAGAGCTCTTTTATTTAAAAATATATAACTGGTGTTAGCTCTACATTTTAACACACCTACAAGTTAGAATAGTCAAAAAAATAAAGTATACTTCTTCATCAAGCAAATGATATTTTCGAAGATCGTCAGTGAGAGGAGCCGGAGAGAATCAAGAGGGGAATGAATTTTTCGTTTCGTAATTAAAGGAAGGCAATCATAAACGTATACATCTGAGAAGCTAGCGTAAAATTCAAAAAGGGGGCTGAAAGTGGAAAGCATCCTATTTTGGCACATAATGAACTCATGATTAGGGACGATATTACGAAATTCCAAATATATCCAAAATCAGACAGAGAAGGGACACAATTTATCAGCCGCTAACAACGAATCCAATATAGTAATTGCTTCATATTGTAAAAACATAAAAAACGGAAGATTAGAGAAGCCATCCACATTCTTGCAGAACTCGAAGCCCAGGCGGTCCGCAGCTGAGACGACATTGTACGTGCTACTGGCGGCTTGAGAAATAGCGACTGGGATTGAAACCGAATGAAATAAGTCAACCAAAAATATATGAAACGGACATAAGGGCCTATGAGGCAGATCGGGACAGGCACCAAAAAGGAGGGGAGCAGGGCAAACAGAATGCGTGATGACGCCATGGTAAATTAGACAAAAGGGCACACCTCTAATGGAATAAAAAAACATGTCAGAAGTTGTGATAGGACGAGGGCGAGACAAGAGGATAGGAACAGGATAGGGGGACCAGGACAGAACGAGTAGTGATAGCACAACTGTTGCGACAGAAATCTGGTCAAGAGATTGACTTCACTTGTCTCTTTAACGAGTTGTAGTTTGGTGCTGAGAATAGCAGGACTCACTGACGATGTCGGCGAGGCGTCTGGGAATGTACCAAGTCCACGATCCGACTGTAAATTATCATGCCTACTATTGACTCCGGACAAGGAATGTTCCTCTATGTTTTCATGGCAATATAACTAAGTTGTGAAAACAATGTCAAGCAACAGCATTATATCGAAAGGAGACTGCAACCAAAATAGAGGCCACAACATAGTGATCTTCGTATTTACGTGTAAAGAGCTCAATTAAAGTG